ATATTTAAACGAGAACTTATCAAATTAAATTGGAAATTCTAGAATTGGACAAATATTGAAATAATAATTTATAAATATGAAGGAGTTTTTTTTTATAGAATTTGTTTTCAACTTTCATTTCTCGTGGAAATTTTTCTGTTGAATTTCCCTGTCTGATAGAAAACAACCGACTATGCGTGGGGGATTTCCAGTGGGCGATAACCAGCGATCCTAGGGGCTCACACTACCCAGATACGGAGAATACTCAATACTACATATCCCCGGGCTTCGTTGTTATTACTACCAGCTTCCCTCTCTTCCATCTTCTCCTTCCATATCACAAACTCGTAGTGGTACCGTAAAATTCCATAGCTCGCTATTGGCCCAACCCTCCGTGCGAGAACTGCCAACTGTACCAGACACGCCGAACTTCGAGGTCTATCCGGCAAACTCGAACCAAAGCTGAGCAGCGATTGCACCGCCTCTGCTTATGGCCCGCCCCGCCGGATTTCGAAGCCTGTTACGAGCAGCACCGACAATTGGCCAAACCGCGCGACCAATCACGAAGGCGAAACCAGAGGCGATGGTGACTTGCCTTTTTGGGTATTTTTAGCTGACGAAGTTTGATTTCGTTGGCAGGGGCAATGTTGTGGGGATTTTGTTCGAGAATGCAAGAGTGTTTAAGAGTACCCCGGGATTTTATTTTCACTGCACATGCCCTCTGCCTTACGCTGCACGACATCTGCGGCTTTCCTACTTTGCACAAACCACGGGAGGTGGTCTACCTTCCTTCTTATAAGGATTAAAGCGCCAAGTACGACCTTCATATACCCTCCTGCGTTTTTACCCCCGAAACTTGGCACAGGAAATCTCAATTCCGACCTAGGACTCCACCCCCACCTTCCAAAAATCCTTGGCACACCCCTTTTTCGCACTTTCAGGCCCCCATCGCACTCCGATCAGGAAGTCACGCTGGGCGTGAGGTTGGGCGTCACACTCTAGCCTTTGGGGTGACCTGACCAAAGTTTAACCGTGGTTGTAGGTACCAGGGCTAAGCTGAGTCGCACACACCCCACTCAGCCCTGAGCAAAGCATATTTGTGCGAGCCTTGCGACCCAGGTACTTCAGGTGCTAGGTACATAAGTTTCCCTTCGAGTCCCATAGGTAGCCCTATTTTGCATTTCTATCGTTGTGTACACTTGTTGTTACTGCTGTTTGTTGTTAGGTTGTTCACTGTGCACACTGTTATCATTACTACATTTCTTTTTGTTGATAATGAACCGAACATGCGAGGCAGGCAACCCAACTAATCCTGTGGAGAGCCCCACCAACACAAGAGCCCTACCAGCACCGACCATAGACTGTACTAAGTCTCACTCTCGTAAACTGCACTAAGTCTCACTCTCATCAACTGTTCCTCTTTCCATGGGGGGTCTATAGGGTCCTAGCTCAAACAAACATTGAACATAGGAGGCAGGCAACCCAACCAGTCTTTTAGTGAGCCCCACCGACATAAGAGCCCTAGCAGCACCGGCCATAGACTCTACTAAGCGTCACTCTCATCAATTGTTCCTCGTTCCATGGGGGATCTATAGGGTCCTAGCTCAAACAGACATCGAACATAGGAGGCAGGCAACCCAACCAATCCTTTGGAGAGCCCCCCCTACATAAGAGCCCTACCAGCACCAGCTATAAACTGTACTAAGTCTCACTCTCATCAACTATTCCTCGTTCCATGGGGGGTCTATAGGGTCCTAGCTCAGGCAGTCTATAGGGTCCTAGCTAAGACAGACATCGAACATAGGAGGCAGGCAACCCAACCAATCCTGTGACGAACCGATTTCCGCACCGCGTGATTTCGTGTGCGATAGCGATGAGGGGTCCTAAGCTGGGAAGGTTGGGCCAATTAAGGGAGATCGGGATTGGAAGGAAATTGCATCGGTACCCTCGCTTCTTCGTCTTTTTGCGTCCGTTCCTTTCGGATGGCTGGTTCAGGCCCGGGTAAACCCCGAGACGATCGATTGGTTTATTGGTTGTGTGAATAGCGCGCCGTCATACGCGCGATTAATGAATGTTGACGTCGTTTCTTTCGTTTCGGTTTTGGACCTTTTAGGTGGGGACATTGTTCGGGAATTTGCTTCGTTCTTTTTGAATTTTCTTTTCGAATCTTGTCGAGCCCCGATGGCTTTCGGAATTTCAGACTTTCTTTTCGGAGTTTGTGCTTTTTGCTTTTTCCCCATTAAATAGGAATTTAGGAATTTTGTAATTAGGAATTTCTTCTGGGCCGCGCGACGCTTTTTGCTTACGCGCTTCTTCATGCGGCTGCAACAGAACTCGGTTTGTCGGCGCCTTTAATCGTGTGTGTAACTGTAATTTTGGGCGGGCGCCATTGTAACTGTATCTTTTCTTCTTGTGCTTCGTATTTCGCGCTCTCGCTTTCTCTTGCTATGTCTAGCCAGCCCGACGAGCTGCATGATCGGATCGATGCGTGGAGAGAGACTACGTTTCGCACGTCGCGGCCCCGTCATGCAGAACGAAGGTGTTCCTTCTCTAATCTTCTTTCTAAGTCTCTGTAATTCCGTGTTCTTCGCGCATGCATGCTATAAATTCCGGCTGCACGATTAGTTAGCTCTCTTAACCAGCTGTTGGGAGCTCGGGGTTGCGCGATCAGAGAGGATCGACACACGAGCGAAGAAAGAGGTGAGTAGAGCAGGAGTCGGGCGACCCGACCAGCTGGTGCCAAACGCGCGGGGTTGACGAGGGCCTGGACGGACTGTGGGCACGAACGAGCCTGACGAGTGAGGGAGGACTAAGTGGGGTGACGACTTCGTGGGTTGGTGCGCGACGAAGGACTGACCGCATCGGAGAGAGAGAGAGAGGAAGAGGGAGCTGAGGTTGATGGACGCGGATTTGTTGTTTATTTTATCTTTCCCCCCTCCCTGCTTATGTATATGAGTTTTGATTTCAGCTCAGGGCGATTCGCCCGTTTCTGCTTTTCAAAATTTGTACTCGGCCTTTTCCCTCACACTTGTCTTTGCGATTTCCATCTTGGATATGGTGCGTGAATGGATTAATGGATGTCGTGTCTGTTGTTTGTCGTTTCCATCTGATCCTTGTCTTCGTTTACCATCTTGATGCATTCGTGAATAGGGTACGAATTTTTGTGTAATCGTTAATCCTGTTTTCGTTTCTGCTTATCTTTTGATCGAGTTGTTGGGGTTGTTGCATTTTGCATGCTCGAAAATTGCGGAATGAGAAGGTAATTGGTTAGCTGTTTGTCCAGAAACCAGTGAACGCCTTGTAGGGACGCGCGTAAGTACGGTCTGCTCTGCGCACTTACATGTGTCCCCGCGAAGCGATTCGCGACCAAACCATACATAACAAGGACGACGAACGACTGGACGGGATCACTCCGCGTCAGCAACGAAGTAATCGTCTCCTGTGAACACGCGTAAGCACGACTCGATTCGCGCGTCCGTGCTCACACGCGGTGATTGCAATCGGCACAGACCCGCCCTTAGTCATCTCACAGCTCTGCGATGATATGATGACACGCTCCGAGAGCTTAGAGTCATTGTACCGACCGGAATACTTTACCCCTTGGATAGAAGAAAGCCTTCGACAGAGATTCCCCTGCCAAACAGAAAATCGACTGTGTCCTAGGGAGTTTCATTGCGCCACTACTAGCGACCCCTGATGCTCTGATTTGCCCACTGCGGACCACACTCACTACTTTATTTCCCCTGGCTTCGTCGTTATCTCCACTAACTTCCCTCCCTTTCGTCTTCTTCTCCCGTATCACCAACTCAGGGTCACCCCGTGGAAAGCCATAGCCCCCTACTGGCCCAGCACGCCCTGTGGAAATTGCCGACAACGCGGCAACCAGAGAACCCCGGGACCATGAGGGCCCGACCAGAACGTACGACGACCGGCGCCACGTGGCAACAACCGACGGACTGACCCATCGGAACCGCACCCACCCCGAAGGGACTTTTCGATGAATCGCCACCCTCAAAACCGATGGATCGCACGATCTTGAATGACCTGCGCATGCCATCTGCCTTATGACCCGAAGTGGTCCGCCCCTTTTTGCCGAGTTGCACAAGTGCCCCCGAAAAACCCTGCCACAGGAGATCTCAGTTCTGACCTGGGACTCCACCCCCACTTTCCCAAAAATCCTTGGCACACCCCTTTTCGCACTTCCAGGCCCACACTCTACTCCGATCAGGAAGTCGCGCCGGGCATGAGGTTGGGCGTCACAATCCTTTGGAGAGCCCCACCGACATAAGAGCCCTACCAGCACTGGCCATAGACTGTACTAAGTCTCACTCTCATCAACTCTTCCTCGTTCCACGGGGGGTCTGTAGGGTCCTAGCTCAGACAGATATCGACCGCGGATTGTACGAAGTCTCACTCTCATCAACCGTTCCTGTTCCACGGGCGAGCTGTCCGTTAGGGGAGCCCTTATCCTAACCCCTCCCGTGCCTAGTGGCTGACCCCCCCAGATCTCCAGTTAGCAACGGGTCCCCCCTACTCTAATCTTGCCCCAAGAAACCTACCAACACCGACCACAGCAATCGCCGACTTTGACGTCCTTTTCCGAGTCAGGCCAACTTAACCTTTTGCCCCGTTTGTTTGGCGGGAAATGACTAGAAAGGTTTCTTCGCAGGGAGATACGGCGGGGTTCTATAACTTTTCCCGCCTTTTTTTTTCGAGTCCCGCCAACTGGAAGAGGTACTATGGTCTGGGGTCAGGTCAGCTGGTACTCGTGCGTGGATCTCGCGGAATTTCCACCTAGACCTGGGGCCACCTAGACCTGGGGCAAAGTCCCACTTGCACGGATTAAGAGATTATGGCCGTTGATCGTTGCTATCTACGGTCAACATCGCTTGATTCGTGTACGTGGGACCTAGCCCCTGAATGAATCTGATTCCGTCCTCAGTCGAGAGTCAAGCCAGCAGCCGGCGGTATCATCCTGTCGAATCCTGTCGACAGAATCGAGATTCTAGAGTCGAGATTTGAGCAGCAACCACTCGGATAATAATATAAAGTCCTCGATTTCGTCTTTCGTGCATGTGGTGCGGTAGTGTCCTTCTCTCTTGCATTTCTTCCTCTCTTCCTCTCTTCCTCTCTTCCTGTCTCCCGTTCTCTCATCATTCTCGTTGTCATGGTCGCTGTCATTCTTATCTGAGGTGTGGATGTGTACGTTGACCTCCGTGTCTGTGTTAGTTTGACGACGTGGAACTGTGTGCGCACGCTTGCCATCGCATCGCTCAGCCTGAGGGTGCACTGCGGAAGCATGCTGCCTAGGATGCTAGTAGCAACAGGCGCGGTTGGGCGGGGCAGCGGGGCAATTTGTCGAATTCCGACGGCGCTCGGCGCGCAGAGGACGTCGAACCACGTGTCAACAGCCTGCGCGGCAGACTCCGAAAACGGTGCAAGAAGGACGTCTACAGATCGGGATTGCATTCAGTCTGAGGGGCTCCACGGCGCTATCGCGACGTCAGCGCACGTGGCACTGCTGAGCGCAGTTCCTCCTCCTCCTCGGTGTCCGCCGCCGCCAACTTCACCGCAGCGGCGCAAGGCGCAGAGCCACGTCCGCGCGTCGGTCGCACGCGCCTGGCTATGGTCGTCGTCTTCCAGCGGCGGTGTCCAGCAGTTGACCGGAAGTGAGCGCAGTCGGTTTGACCGCGCAGGTCATCTCCTGGGCTCGTCTTGCACCGCGAGTGCTACGCTCATCTTCGGGCCAGCGGCTGCGGCATGGTGCTGTCGGGATACGAGACGAACACATTTCCCACGCACTTTCATCGTCGGAACAGGTGGACATCTGCTGGTGTTGGGATCTGAGACGAGGAGCTTCGCCGCCTCTTCTTGTTCATCTTCTTCTTCTTCGTCTTCGTCTTCTTCGTTCGTCAACGCGTTGACTTCGGCATTCTCGGATTCCGCTGGTGGACGGGCGGCGCCGTGTCCACGTGGCGGGCGCTCGTGGAGTTTCTGGCGCTTGATTGGATCGGCAAAAGTCGAGCATCAGGGCCGGGATCCCAACAAGAAGAGAGTCAAAGCGGGCGGCGGGAAAGGTCCAGCGGAATCCGAGGAAGTCAAAGTCAACGCGTACGGCGGGAGCGGTTCTGGACAACCCGAGGACGTCAACGTCGAAGGCGACAGGTGTGTAGATCTGGGATTTGCCGAGGCGGCTGAGCGTGTTCACTCATTAGACGTCGCGATCCCGAGGGAAGAGGAGGTGGCAGCCCGGCTTGAGGAATCGAGGCCTCCGCGTGGGGTCGGGACTTGGACAAGCGAAGAAGAGTGGACGGTCGCAAGGGAAGCGTTGGTGAGTGAGCTCGACGGGGCGAAGGCTCCGCGTGACGAAGGGATCGGGACAAGAAACGAAGAACAGTCGAGAGAAGGGGAGGGAGCGGAAGGCGGGAAGGAAGAGGAGAAGGAGGAGGAGGAGGACGGAGGGGGGAGGGAGGGGCCTGTGGCTGGTGTGAGGTACGACCTTGAGCAGTTCGTTCAGGTCGGAGGTGAGGTCGTTGAGGAGGTACAGGAGGTCATTGCTTTCGAGATCCCGGCCGGGGGAGATATGACGGACCAGCAGCAGCACCAGCAGCAGCAGGAGGAGGAGGGGGGTAAGAGCAGCCATCGCCAGGCATTCGAGGACGATATGAGCGAGGCGTACGGCGAAGCGTACGCGACAAGGTCCGCTGACGAAGGGTTTGGAGAGAGGTATAGCGAGGCTGTGCTTTCGGGATCGGTGGAGCATCGGGACGTCCCGATGAAGAAGGAGGAGCCTCCTCTAGATCTCGGACGTATAATGACTGATGACCGCGCGGGTCGGGATCGGGACGCCAGGCCGATGAAGAAGGAGGAGCCTCCGCTAGATCTCGGAGCTATGACGACCGAGCACACGGAGATCCTTGAGAGCGCTAGCAAGGACATTATGGGGGAGGAGGGCGGCGACGCGGCGGGCATGGGGGTGTCGTCCGCAGAGATTCCGCGGTCGCAATCGGGACCTGAAAAGAGCGGGCCTGGCGATCAGCAAGCCCCAGGAGGAGAGGGAGGCGGTGTGCCTCCAAGTGAACAGGGCAGAGAAGTCGCTCAAAAGGAGGTAGGAAGGAACATGCCACCGGAGTGTGCGTTCGTCGGTCCAACAACTGACGTGAAGGGATGTGGTGAGGGGGAGGGGGAGGGGAAAGGGGGGGGGAAGCTCGCTCAGCAGGGCACAGACAGGGACAGCGAGAGGAACTTAGACCCGAGCGTAACGCCCCCACCATGACTTGACACGTGTCCTTCTCTCTCTCTCTCTCTCTCTCTCTCTCTCTCTCTCTCTCTCTCTCTCTCTCTCTCTCTCTC